CTTCAGCTTAGTCCTTTTATTGATTAGAGGCTGCCACTGCGGAATGAACCGCCAACTTATCCAGCATATGTTTTAAACAGCAGATGCCTTTCCAGCTGCAACCCAGTACTGGGAAACATTCATACACACTCATGCACACTCATACGGCCAATTTAGTTAAGCACCCATGCAAACATGCAACTTCCACACAGAAATGCTAACTGAGCCAGTCAGGACTCAAACGAGCGACTTTCTTGCTTTGAGGCAACAGTGCTAACCCCTGAGTCATTGTGTCGCCTCAAGGTTTGTATGTAAAAGTATTACAACTTTTTTAGAGAAGTAATCTGGAATCTCACAAAGTTTTTATTGAATCAAGTCTGCCAATTGTGAACAAACCTAAATATATGCGTATGTCAATTAGATCAACTAGTAGTTGACAATATGGTAAGTTGGTGTGAAAGGATATTATGTTTTGTAATCAAAAGCATTCAAACAGCAACAAGTTGACCAGTATTTTGCTAATGATTTTGAGAAAGCAAGGTACTTATACTTCTCTGCGTTGTACCAAAACACACAGATTACAGCTGAAATCATGAAATGACTCGCTCATAAGCCAGATAACAAGGTTAGTTCATCTTCCATGAAGAGAATGATGAAACAAAAACATAGGACTTGATGAAGTCCATAGATAAGCAGTCACAGGAGATGCATCTCAATTCTTTCGTTAATACCAGGCGGAAACAGGGTCTTTGTCAATTAAATAAAACAAACATCCACACATCAACAAACTCCCTAATATATATATATATATTTGAGCGACCACTTCTAAAGCAACAGAAAACACACACAAATTGCAAAGAAACCAAAGAAAATCACTTCCATCTGGAACCAACAGAATAATTTTTTTTTTTAAAAGCGTCTTAAATGAACTGGATATTTAAAAACCTTTGTGAATCTTTCTTCATGTGAAGCTAGCACTGCCCATACAGAATATAAGGCCTGAGAGTCTTTTGCATGTAATAAATGGCTGACAGCATATGACACACATCAGCAGGCAATGGGTTTCCACAATTTCTTCTTTAAGACATCAGTGCAGTGCAACATTTTCTGTCAGCTATGGGTGATTGTCTTAAGAATGGTAAAACGCACATCTTTCCACTGTGCTTTACTCTTGAAGAAACAGGCCTTTGAAAATACCGGGGTGCTTGTGAAGTCAAAAATTAAACCTTTACTACTGGCAACACATGTGATACGTGACATAAGCTCCAGCAAGTCCTTAAATGTTTTTTTTTTCCCTGAAAGATAGTCCCATTCACTCTGTGGAGCATAGGCAGCACTAGTTCAAAGTGGGTTTGGTAATTTAAATGTAGCTTTCTGTGTTTCTGGTGGTGGAGGAAAAAAGTAGGTTATTTTGCTTTTGGAACTACCAGGATCTCATCCCCATCTTGAATGCTGTAGGAGTGCAAGGCCCGTGCACTGTATTTGAGCTCATCGGGGCCATAGGCAGTGCCCTTGTCTATGTAGTAAAGACGCATGTTGTTGGTAGGAAGCTGTACTACAGTCTTCAGCTGCTTCTTGAGCTCGGCCACGGTCTGGTCCAAACGGATGCTCACCTGCTCGACTTTGTCCTCAAAGCGCACCTCTACTTTGGCATGGAAACGTGGTCTCAGGTCGATCTCAGCCAGAGGAGCCAGTTTCCCATATTTGGTCACCAAACAGTGATATCTCCAAAGAAAATACAAGAACTTTAACCTCATTCAGCCATTTAAACAAATAGAGTGTCAAAATACTACCAATAACTTTTAAAGGGGCAGTTCACACAAAAAATGAAAAAATTCCATCACTAATACCTCATAATAGCAAAATGATGATATTTTAGATCCCACATCCTCCCTATAAAGCAAGGTCCCTGACTCATTAATAGTTCAGAAAGGTACCAAAAACATCCTTAAAACAGACCATGTGTCCTTTATTAAAACTATGAGAAAATGTTTGTGCATATTCAGTGCTCAGCATAAAGTACACCCCTAACAAATCAATCTTTTAAATTTATATTTTTAATAGTAACTACACAACATTATATTTGTAGATAAACATTACATTAGTCAGTAATAAAGCCAAATCTTGAGCTTATCTAGTACAACCAAGCTAACTAGTACAGCCAAATGTTTATTTTATAGAAAATATTAAAGACATATAAAAAAATGTACTTAAAATTTTGTAGGTTGTAATTTCTTTAGCAATATTTTGCTTGAATTACCTTTTTTTATATTATCTTTTAAGTTATGTTTGGTGTTATTATCATATGTTTGGTGACTAAAATAATATTTTAATAAATATATCTGAGCACTGTATAAAACAAAAATAATGACTTTGTTCAACAACTTCTTCTCCTTAGTGTCAGTATAAGGCGCACATTCATGAGCACAGTGCAGTGACGTATACCATGGTCGCGCAAGTGGGACTTTCTCTGTTTGAAACAAAGCACAGGCACATTTGAGGTCAGATGCCAGACATGAATAAAGAGCACAGCACTCTCGAGAATGTGTGCTCTATATTGAAACTAGGTAGAAGAATCTGCTGAATGAGGTAATTTTTGTTTTTTTTTGTGCACAAAAGTATTCTTGTAGCTTGATAATATTCCAACTGAACCACTAAAAACAAGTCTGTTTAAAAGGATTTTTCTGGACCTTGAATGAGTATGGATCAGGGATGGGCAAACTTGATCCTCGAGGGTTGGTGTTCCTGCAGAGTTTTGCTTCAACCCTAATCAAACACACCTGAACATGCTAATCGGTGTCATCACTAGAAAGCTACTGGCAGGTGTGTTTGATTAGGGTTGGAGCAAAACTATGCTGGACACTGGCCCTCCAGGACAGAGTTTGTTCATCTCCATCACGTCTGGACTGTTGCTGTCTAGAAACAATGAAGAAGCTCATATCATTAACAAATAAAAAATATGTTAATTTGTATACCACAGATAAACAAAGGTCTCAGGGGTTTGGAATTACATAATGGAGAGCAATTAGTAACAGTAGTTTTCATTTTTGAGTGAACTAACCCTTTGGGATCTTCAAGTTAAGTTCTGCACGCTGCATTTCAAAGTGACTCAGAAGAGAATTCACGGTGCTTTGTGGTGACAAAAATGTTTGTGTTGCAATCTCAGCACTGCCATAAACAGTACTATATTGGGTATAAGCATAAATTGTCATCTTCTAGATTCATTTTTCCCTTCAGGTCAGTGTAACTGAATTAAGATATATTTTATGTATTCGCTTTAATTAGTTTTTTAATTTTAATGTAATTCTTAGTTTGTATTAATTTAATTTTTTTTAAAGTTTAATTTTACATAATGAAATGACAAATATAGGTGTAAAACATAAATTAGATCCGCTGTTGAAAAGGAACTTGTAGCAATAGAATAAATTTAAGTCTAGTTTAGATATAAAACAAAATCCTCATCCCAATTTCCTGATCACGTTTATGCCGAATATGTTAAGATATCTGGACTGACCACAAGAAAATGTGTTATGTGGATCTCACGGTACATTTGTAAAGTCTGTCATAAGATGTACATCGGCCAGGAGTTAAAATAAAACTGCACTGTCTGATTTTAACAACTATATAATAAAAAACTAGCACATTAAAACTAATTATTCTGGCCACACATTGCTTTCCTGTGAGAAGATCTTGGACTTCATTTAAAGATTTTTTTTTTTTTATTTAGCCGACAATGTAGGTGGTCTACACTAAATGTACCTGTGAGGCAGTTCTTCTTCAGAATGATCCAAGTGATAGCGGATAAAGAATCTCTCAGCATCCTCTCTCTCACCATCCGTCACCACACTTCCATTCAGACTGGTCACTGACGGCAGCCTGTGGACAATGAGATCATCAACATTTCAAAGACTTTACGATCAGTTTCTAATGTGGTTAAAATGATAGTTCAGCCCAAAATGAAAACTCTGTCTTTATTTACTCTATAATCATGTCATTCAGAACCTGTATGACGAATCTATAGGTGTGACATCAAGAAGCCTTTTCTAGAAATAATATGCCAAAATGATGTGAGTTTAACTTTAAAAAAGCAAATTAACTTGCCAATAAGGTAGCAAAAATAATCTTTAAATGACTTAAATTCATATTCACTTTAAAACGAATCTTTAAAAACAAGAGAGTACAGGTATGTGCCAGACAAATTGAATATCGAGGGAAATCCCATTTATTTCAATCATTTATTTCAAAAATTGAAACTTGTGTGTTATATTAGTTCACTATACACAAAGTCAAATATTTTAAAAGATGAAAAAAAAACAGATTTTAGAAGATGAAAAATCCTAAATCCAGTATTTCACAAAATTAAAATATTTTATGTGACCAATAAAAAAATAATCTTAAATATATGTTGGCCTTCTGAAAAGTGTGTTGATGTACTGTATTATGTCCTCGGTACTTTGTTGGGCCACCTTTTGCACTAATTACAGCATTAAGGAGATACAGCATGCAATAGTGCTGCATCTCAGATGTTCAGATCGCTGAAAATGCATGTAACCACAAGTTTGAAGCAGGGCCAAAGGGATGACAGAATTTCCACTTTTGTGTGAATTTCCTCTGTCAGATACATCAGACTTACTGGGCTATCATCAGACTGCGCCGCTCCGTGCTTGTGTAAGTCTGCAGTAGAGGAATGCCTTGCAACCTCACCTCTTCCAGCTTAGGCAGAAAGGTTAGCTTCTCAATATCCTCCCATCGATTAAGTCCTGATTCACATAAAATGATCAGAAAAAAGGTAACACTATCATTTAAAACATTCTCCATGCAACTACAACTACTACATGCAACAAATGCTAAACTTAACCTTCCTCCTACCCATACAATTAAGTCCAGGTAGTTTATTAACTCAGTGACTCAAAATAAAGTAACCAAAAGTATAAGGATATGTACTTATATTGTACTCAAATAGCAAAAAACGCTAAATTAAAACTGACACATAATAATAATTTAAGCTAAAAGTACAGGTGTTTTTTTTTTTACATACATGCACAGTAAATACACAGCCCTTTAAAGTACATCTACTGTTTATGCCATCTTCAGATGTATGATGTTGTTCTTTTCCAACTCTGAAACAAAGGCCTTGTTCAGTGTTGACACTTTGCGGATAAACTATTTAGTGCAAAAACAAGAATGTTTGAGACGCTCATACATTGTTACTGTTAAACAAAATATACAAAACAAAACATAAAAAAACATAGCTTAGCATACAAATAAAGATCCATGTATTCTTACGACTTTAGACTCTTCTACACTCTCTATCAACAACACAATGGTACCCGAGTTATGCAGATTGATGCTTCGAAGATTAGGGAACAGGCGGTGAAGGATTTCTCCTGACTCCTGAATGCTGTTCAGGTTGTTGTTGGCCATGACCAGAGTGTCCAGTGCTGGGAACATGGAGCCAATTTTCCGTACTTCGTTCCACTCGTGGAGGTTGTTATCTGTGATGTGGAGCAGACGCAGTGTGGGGCAGGGCATGGCGGCCAGGGTCACAGTGGTGTACTCATTAAGGCACAGAAACAGCTCCTCTAGCCTGGATATAACACATTTAAATCATCTGAAATGAGCTGCAACTACAGTGCATTTCACACATGCTGCTAGTTTCACTTTCACTTTAAATCATTTAGACTGATATTTCTGATGAATGTGGTTTATAACAAATCTCACCGTAAATTTCAGCTTCTTTTATACTTACATTTTTTCAGTCTCTTTTCTGTTCTGAGTAATATTAAATTGAACAGATTTATTGCCAAGTGAAGGACATGTTTAGAATTTTAAACATTTGATATTATATAGGATTACCAGATTTATATTTAATTATTTGTATTAATTAAATAATAAAATGTACACCAATGTGATTTATACATCAATGCAACTTTTTTGAGGGCTGTCAACTGTGACATTTTTGTCCTAGGATTTTACGTAAACAGCCATTTTAGTACTTTGTATATATAAACTTTGTACTTTTGTACTTTTGTACTTTTGTATATATAAACTTTTAGTACTTTGTATAAAACATAAATCTAAAACTACATACCGTTTTCATGTTCATTTTGTATTTATGAAAAATGCAAAAATTGCAGAAGATACTCACTCAGGCATCTCTTGCGTGAAAGTATGTACTGTGTCCCAGGACACTTGGGTATTGTTAAGAACGAATCTGCGGATGCTAGAAAAGGCCTTAGCACAGTCCGGATCCAAGACTGCATCACTCAGCTGATTAGAGCTAAGGTTTAAGAACTCCAGGTTTGGGACATTGGAAACAATCTTGCTGATCTGGTACAGATAGAAAGAGTATTGATAATTATACTGTTTCATATTATTATCATCATTATATATAATAAAACACACGCCAGCATTCAGTCTACCAGTCATTCAATTTAAGAAAAACAAACAATTTCATACACAAGTATTTTGCAGCTAAACACCATATTAGCTATGAAATAGGATCAAACCTGGTAAAACCTCTTTACCACTGTAATGGCAATATCAAAACAAACCATTCTTCCTATATTCTTTGTAATTACTGTATAATCAACATTTCAAAATAATGTGCCACACTGAAACTCACAAACATTCATCCATTTCCCAGAGAGATGGAGATCGCACTGCTCACAAACCTTAGCAGCAGTTATCAGTGCTAACAACACAACATTTATTTATAAAATAACATCAATAGCACAATAAAATATAGTACTATTGTTTTGGAAAATTCTGGAAAAGTCTGGTGATCAAGTTATAAAGTTAACCTATAATGTTCTATTAGTTCAACCGAAAATAAGATTAGTCTCAAAAGAGGATATTTTTGAAAAATGCAGGTTGCAGAGGCCCACTCATTCATTTTCTTTTCGGCTTAGTCACTTTATTAATCTGGGGTTGCCACAGTGGAATGAACTGCCAACTTATCCAGCACATGTTTTACGCAGCGGATGCCCTTTCAGCTGCAACCCACCGCTGGGAAACACACACACTTATACACTACGGTCAATTTTAGCATACCCAATTCACCTGTACCACATGTCTTTGGACTTGTGAGGAAAACCGGAGCACCCGGAGAAAACCCACATGAACACGAGAAAAACATGCAAACTCCACACAAAAACTGACCCAGCCGAGGCTCGAATTAGCAACCTGCCTGCTGTGAGGCGAACGTACTACCTACTGCGCCCCCTTGTTGCCCACAAGAAACTCAATAATGACAATAAAAACTCAAAGGTTTTAAAAGGTAATTTCCATTTGGAGGGAAACTATCGTTATATTCATTCATTCGTTTATTTTCTTGTCGGAGTAGTCCCTTTATTCGCCACAGCGGAATGAACTGCCAGCCTTTCCAGCAAGTTTTTACGCAGCAGATGCCCTTCCAGCCGCAACCCATTTATGGGAAACATCCACACACACACACACACACACACACACACACACACACACACACACACACACACACACACTACGGACAATTTAGTCTACCCAATTCACCTGTACCGCATGTCTCTGGACTGTGGGGGAAACCGGAGCACCCGGAGGAAACCCATGCAAATGCAGGGAGAACATACAAACACAGAAACGCTAACTGAGCCAGCGACCTTTTTGCGATGAGGCGACAGCACTACCTACTGCGCCACTGCGTTGCCCTTTTATTTATACTCTAAATTAGTTATTTACTAATTTATGTATTTTAAATATCTATATTTAAAATATTGTATTTAATATTTTCATTAACAAAACTGTGTACCTTGTCAAACAAATTAGTACTTGTCACAACATTTAAATTTTTATCAGATTGTTTTGTTTATAAAAAAATAGCTTTATATATAAATCTCTGTTAATTATTCTATTTTAATGTAATAATAAAAAGTCATTCTAGTCTCATATAAAGCTATGCAGCACATAATTCATATGCACTATTTTATGGGGCTTTTTTCTGTATTGTTTGGAGCTTGACAACCTCTGCCCCTTTCATCGCTCATTTATAACAGAATTCTGCTTAATGATACGTTAAGAATGAGAATGTCAAAATGCTCACTTAACCTGCATCCCTATAAAATGGGTTAAAGAAATCTGCCAACAGACAGTGATATTCTCTGATAAACTTATCTTCTCACCTCGTGCCAGTCTTGAAGCTTGTTGTGGGACAGATCAAGTTCTACTACGTGAGCACAGAAGGCAGCGATTTCCCCCTGGTCTCCTGCATGACTAATTCCACAGCCGTTCAAGACCAGCACGCTGGGCAGGTTCAGGCGGTCTGAAGACACAATGACCATACGAGCAATGAGCCATAACACGGCAACAGGGTACAGATGCCAGAACAAACACTAGCATCGCTAGGAGCCTGACAGTATCGCTTGTTTATAATAAACCCAAGCCTCACCTTTCATCGGTGATCCCTGTGGTCCAGATGGCACAACCACAACCCCCATGCCTGGACCCCGACGGCAAGGAAAGTTCTCTGGACTGTACTTCTCACTGATCGCCTGCATAAAAGTGCGGCCTTCTATCTCCGAAGAGTCCATTGCGCTGTCCCACAACATGCACTTTATGCAGCTGTCCATACAAACATAAAGTCAAAATTATTCTTCCTCCTGTGATTTTTAAAAAAAAATATTTCCCAAATAATGTTAAACAGAGCAATGAATTTTTCACAGTATTTCCGATAATATTTTTTCTTCTAGAGAAAGTCTTATTTGTTTAATTTCAGCTAAAATAAAAGCAACTTAACATTTTTTTAATGGTTTTAAGGTCAATATTAATAGCCTGTTAAGCAATATTTTGTTTTTTGAAAGTCTACAGAACAAACCATTGTTATACAATAATTTGCCTAAATACCCTAACTAGCCCAGTTACTTAATTAACCTAGTAAGGCCTTTAAATTGCACTTTACTAGAATCTTTAAAAATATGTTAAAAGATGTTATTAATATGCGTTTCTGTAAAAAAAACTTCTTTCTGTTAAACAGAAATCAGGGATAACTATACAGGTGGGCTAATAATTCAGGAGGACAAATAATTCTACTTCAACTGTAGTTTACAAAAAAGTTTTAGTTAATTAAAAAAAAATTCCAGCATGAAATAGTAATAAAAATTAGTTTTGTTTTCATAACTATACAAAAATAAAACTATACAAAAAAGGGATCTGTTCTTGGTCCTCTTCTATTTTCCATTTACACCACATCACTAGGAACCATCATATGATAAAAAATGACTGAAAGTAAATGTAGTAATTTTATATACACAGAAAGGGTATTAAACACATTTAAAATATCTGTTTAAATGTTTTAAATGGCAAATGTTAAAACATGAGTGAAAAAATATTAAAACAATCAATAATAATTCATTAAATAAATAATTGGCATCATTCAGGACAGCATAAATGACATTTAAATATTAAGTCACATGCTTATTATTTCTGATTTGTACTCATCAAAATACATAGTGATCATTCTGCTATATATTTTAAAATGATTCTAATTGTTTTTCTGACAATAGTTATAATGACATTTGTTTAGTACTTTGTAGCGGCACTGTTATTATTAGATATAACCTTAAATTATCATTATATTAAATATTTTTATATTTATATTATTCACAACAGAATCAACCAACTAACTTATCCAGCATATGTTCTACGCAGCAGATGCCCTTCCAGCTGCAACCCAACACTGGGAAACACCCATATACTCTCATTCACACTCATAAACTACGGGCAATTTAGCTTTCCCAATTCACCTACAGTGCATGTCTTTGGACTTGTGGGGGAAATAGGAGCACCCAGAGGAAACCCAGCGCTACCCACTGTGCCAACCATGATTTCATTCATTCATTTTCTTTTTGGCTTGGTCCCTTTATTAATCGCCACAGTGGAATAAACCGCTAATTTATCCAGCATATGTTTTACGCAGCGAATGCCCTTCTAGCTGCAACCCGTCACTGGGAAACACCCGTACACTCTCATTCACACACATACATATGGACAATTTTAGCTAACTCAATTCACCTGTACCGCATGTCTTTGAACTTGTGAGGAAAACCAGAGCACCTGGAGTAAACTCACGCGAATGCAGGGAGAATATGCAAACTCCACACAGAAATGCCAACTGACCCAGCAGAGGCTCAAACCAGCGACTTTCTAGCTGTGAGGCGACAGCATTACCCACTGCGCCATTGCGTTGTCCTCCAACCCTATTATATTATATTATATTATATTATATTATATTATATTATATTATATTATATTATATTATATTATATTATATTATATTATATTACTGTATATTATATTATATTATATTATAATAAAGAATACATTATTACATGTCATCAAATGATTACTTTTCTAAATATGACAGACCAGATGTTTTTGGTATACAGCATACATGATTGTTAAAGTGACAATTTTCAGAAGTGAAAACTCCTCTTTCTTTAAATATTAGTAAAAATTATTAGTAATATTGTTAATTAGTTTTACTTGAATATTTTCAGGTTTTTAATAGTGTTCTGTGCCTAATAAAGCTGCTGAAGTGTTGCCATGTGCACTTATTTTAAGCATCTTTGAGCTTGTTATTTAGGCTAGGCTCATAAATCTATGACATTAGTAACGTGGCCAGATGTGGGTAGCAACAATATTTGAATTTATTTTGGCTAATTATGGCTTTATTCTAGTTGTGTTTTAGTAAGATCTGGCAGCACAAATGGGTTATAGGCACCCAATATATCTCTGGCTGGCACATCTCTGTGAATTCAAACATATCACAAACAGCTAACTTTTTAGTCAAGATCTGCACCAGTTTTTGCACTTTTTTTGTAAATGTATTTTTCACAACCCTCTGGGCCACAAGGTCCATTTTTAAACAGAGCTGGCCTAGATTTAACCATCTGCTGGCTAAATAAGTCATGCTCCTTGCTAATACCAAACCACAAGTTTATTAAGCATGACTTAAAAATTAAAATAAAAGAATACACTTATATTTTAAATACATTTTTTCTTCAATTAACCCCTATAAATATAAAAATATGGAAATATAGAAAAACGCATTTGAAGGGTTCTTACCTGCTCTGCGATTTGTCTTCACAGGTCCACATTCAAAGCTTGTGTCATAAAACAATAAACTTTACTTTTACTGCATGAAATTATTGGTCCATTGAGTGTCAAGGTTCGATGGAAAAATGTGGCTGCACACCAGTAGAGAGACGGGACCTGCTCTTTGTCTTCACAACACTTTTCAGAGATAACAACAGTCTGCAGAAAGAAGACACTGGGTCAGCAAGAAGGACACACGACTGATTCAACCTAAGCTGTAAATACACTAACCTACCTAAACAACAAAAAAGCCAGTTTCTGTTTAAGTCAACACACTCAATGTGCATATGAAAACCTTGCTGTACTCAGAGCTGTTTGCAGGCTCCTAAGGACATATGTGACAAAGAGCATGTAAACATTCTTTAGACAGCTGTAAATGTTACCATAAAAAAGGACCTTAGGTGACTTGTTAAACAAAATGGCTGGCAAGACAATAAGTAGCCTGAAGCAGATTTATTCAAATCCTGCGTTCTAAGTGTCAACTTACAAGAAGAGCCGTGGTGTTTACAAGTATTTTAATCCCATTTTACAGCAGGTTGAATGTTTAAAACAGACAAAGAAAATCATGTATAAATAGTACTAGATGTAGAACAGGGATGTTCAAATTTCAAATAAAACCGACCGCCGAACTTGATTATACCTTTGCAAGGACAATCATACAATGTAAAAGGGTCTAAAATATTATTTGGAAAGTGTTAGTTGTGGATAATTTGTTTTTTTGAATCACATATAATCATATTGTTTTTTTATGGATCATTGGTCACACTTTACAATAAGGTTTCATTAATTAATGGTAGTTAATGTATATTACATCATTATAACTACATTACACATTATAACTAATTTATTACGGTAATTATAATGGTAGTTACTAACATGAACTAATAATGAACAATACTTGTATAGCCAGCAAAGGTCAGTCCAAAGCACTCGAAAAATGTGGAAAAATATTTAAATATTTTTATTTATGTTTATTTATGTTTATTCTCATAAATCCCTTACCCAAAGAGCACCAACACATTAATTAAACTACTCCTGAGCACTTTTTATTTGATTTTGGATTTAATACTTGTATAGCTTTTATTAATCCAAGTTCAACATTTACTAATGTATTCTCTTGACAATGTGATACATACTTTCAAAAATTAACAGCGTTTTTTTAATGAAAACAAAATATTCTACTTCTTCATGCTAAGTTTACTAGTTTTCTTTAAAAAAAAACTTAATGCACAAACTATTGAAGTGTTTTATCTCCAGCAGGAAGCAAACCATGGTTATTTGAGTTTCTGATGATATACTTCAACCCTGCAATGGTAATATATGACATTATCAGTACAATATATAAAACCTCAATATTTATCTCAATATATTCATTTTAAATACGTCAACAATGTCCACATTACAGAAATTAGTCTGTCCTACATCAATACATTTTCAAACTAACGTTTTCAAACCATCACGTGACAACACCGCGACGATAACGTGACAAACGTGTTGCGACCTTTAATTTTTATTTATTTAGATGTTGCGACCTTCATCTGAGATTTTTTATGAGCTCACAGGTCATTTATAATGAACACTAGACTAACGTTATATCAGAGTCATGTGAATCTGCTGCTGCATGAGGACACACACATCCAAGATGACAACAGCAGCAGTCACCAAAACAAACGAGTACCCGTTAAAAGACCGCATTCATTTAGGTCAGCGCCTTTGAATGGTTTCATTTCAGCTTATATTTGTCTAGCCTGACCGAAAACATCCCTCCATGATGATGCCTTACATTAACGAGCAGATCTTCCGTGAGACTCGCGAAGGCGTTATTCACACCAACTCCTGGCCGTCAATTTAACCACATAATTTCTCTTCAAGTCTCGCACTGTCTCCGCTGCTCCGTGTCGCTCTTGTTATTGTTGATAAATCTGTCACGCTGACCCTATTGTCACGGAAGTGACGTCACTCCAGCTGGGTGCTCGTGATTGGACCGCTGTACACGAATACTTTTGCGCCCTCGCCGGCGAAGCAGAGAACAACAGGCGTTTCAGTGTAATTGTCATAAAACATAAAACAAGAATTATTATACAAAATTCATTAGCTATGTGTTTATACTTTAGTTACAATAACATTTAAAAAAAGACTTATTCTCGTTTAGTTCTTATTAGACACCTGTAAGGAACCCTTCGTACTAGTTTAATATATGTTATTACTTATTCTTATACTAATAAATGTAGATGCCAGGACTTATTTGATTAGTGACAGTTTTCTTTTCAATTGATTGCACATTTCACAATTTGCATTCAAGCTGTAGCTGGTAAAAATACTAATTAACTGAATAATACTAGATATAAATTTTTTAGAAAGTAGACATCTTTAGATACTAGTTATTGATTATTGGATGCTAATATTTAAAGGTACTATTTATTCAATAATTAGAATTAAATATTTATTAGATACTAGTACTATATATATATATACACACACACACACACACACACACACACACACACACACACACACACACACATACTGTATATAATACAGCATTTAGTGATTCTGTTAGTGAGATTCTTTTAAATTAATATTATAACAGGAGTAAAAAGGCAGATCTGACTGATGGGATGAGAATTGTTACTAAATTGATTTCAAATGAAAAAAAATATGCATTAATATTAATAAATACTAGTATCCATTAAATCAGTATAGGTCCACTGGTGTATAATAAGCATGTTCCAGTACATAATAATTACTAGCAATAGTTAATGAATGCAGGGCAATGCAGTAGCGCAGTAGGTAGTGCTATCACCTTACAGCAAGAAGGTCTCTGGTTCGAGCCTTGGCTGGGTCAGATGGCGTTTTTGTGTGGAGTTTGCATGTTCTCTCTGCATTCGCGTGGGTTTCCTCCGGGTGCTCCGGTTTCCCCCACAGTCCAAAGACAAGCGGTATAGGTGAATTAGGTAAGCTAAATTGTCCGTAGTGTGTGAGTGTGTTTGGATGTTTCCCAAAGATGGGTTGCAGCTGGAAGGGCATACACTGTGTAAAACATATGTTGGATAAGTTATCGGTTCATTCCGCTGTGGCAACCCCAGATTAATAAAGGGACTAAGCTGAAAATGAATGAATGAGTTAATGAATGCTTACTAGTAATATTGAAAAAGATACAAGTCAATGTAAAAAAGTAGCAATCACACCTGAAATGCATATTTTTAGTATAACTGAATAGCTTAAATGTCAATGATTTCCATATGTCAATGGGGAAAAATGATTTCCTACTCAAAACAAAATAAAAATTATGTTAATTCTTAAAAATAAAATACTACTAATGAATATGAACTGGAATCTAATGACTAAGTACAATTCGCTATTTAAGTTACCTGCATCTGAATAAGAGGTATTGTATATATAGTATATATAGTATCTACTAAAACTAGTATCAAATTATTTAATTATTAAGCACAAGCACCTAAAATAAGATATCCTAATTAATATGTATGTGATAGTATCCAATATTAAAGTACTAGTTGCATGAAAATAGATACTAGTAGTGCATTTTATAGATTACATATGTTCAAATGGCTTGCCATAGATCGAGGTGCCCTGTTTGCCAACACTGGGGCTGTGTGCTATAAAAGCCTGTTTGACCACACCATACACAGTATTAGTGAATGTTTTAGACTCTTTAGTGCTTCCCTCTAGTGGTTGGAAATGTCTCCAGTTGGATTTTTATGACATCTCTGAAGAAAGTTGTTGCATATGAATCATTGTTAATCAAAACTAAACTTAAAATATTCCAAATAATTTTATTTTTGTAACAAAACTAAATAATAATAATAATAAAACAGAAGAATAAAACCTTTGACCTAAAAAACATGCTTTGTTGCCAAAATCCTTCTGCTCTGTACCCCAGTTATTAGGGGTCACCACAGCGGAATGAACTGCAAATATGAATGACTATTGGTACATTATAATGCAAGAATTATGTATATCAAATATAAAACTCACTATTAACTATGTTTCAAGCATCAATTAACTTCAGAGAAACATTCAGTAATAGTGATTGTGGTGATTTGTATGTGACAGGATTAAGAAATGTAAAATAAGGTCATGCAGAATAAGGCTTTATTATGTGCTTAATAAGTAATCTAAGCTAAGCTATTAAGTAATCCAAGCTAATGAACTCATTACACATGAATGATACTTATATTTGTATTGACAGATGTTTTGGAAAGCGTGACATTTTAGCACAGTTACGTTCTATTGTAGCACACTGCTAATGTACCAGCATTGAGTTAATGTTTGTTTGCTAACACATTTTAGCACTGCCAAGTTTTTATTTTTTATTTTTAATAACTCTAACTTTTCTTACATGTATTGGCTAGAAGTCAGAATGATAAGCTTACATCTTAATATTTTTTGTACAAACAGCATAGAATTAGTGATGTGTGTGTTGACATCTGTTTTGTTTTCTGCAGCATCACTCATCAGGCACAGTGATTTGTGTATTCTGCTTCAGCTCGCTCACCTGCAAAATAAAAATGCTTCAGAGGAGATGCCAAAACTTTGTCTAAACAAGTAAATGCTGTGTTATTCAGTCATACTGGTCTGGTAGTAGTCGTAGACTTTTATAACTGCTGGCTTGAGGTTTTTAACAGAGAAGATCCTTTTAATACGAAACGGAAGCCGGTAGTTTATGTTATTCCGAATCTGTAAACAATTTAAAACATGTGTTCTGATTAAATTAATTAAATCAGTGCAACAGTATTTTAACAGACTGCGAGTAAATTGTCATTATTATCCATACAATAACACTCCCACCTCGTTTAGATATACGATGATATGCTCATCACTGGATTCAACACGACTTACTGCTTTCTTTACCTTAGAAATAAACAAAACCAAAGGTTTTTTAAGCACATGCTAAAATATTCAAAAAGCAAAACTGCTTTACCTCATCCATAAAAATCGGTTCTGCGCTGAAACCAGACAAGAGTTTCATATCTACAATGATCATGTTGGAGGTCTCTATATATTGTATTCCCTTATATCTGAAAAAAAAAAGAAAATGAAGGTTTATATCACACTATTCTCAACTAAAAACAGAAAAATTTATAGGAATTTTGGATCAAAGTGAATGGGAGAAGGACATTTAAAAAAATGACAAGGCATCTGTTTCCATCTTTTCGTTGTCATAACAGTGATAATTAGTGAATGAAAACAGCTGAGATCAGATTTTGGGGGCAGATTGTTTTCTTTCGAAGCAAGTAGCCATGTAATAAGAGGGATGATGTACATCTAGGTGATTGTTTTTGCCAAATACTGTAAAGCCCCTCAGTCTTATACAGCAACACTCATCACTGTCACTTTTAGCCTGCCGTTTAATCACATTATTACGGCAAGTACCAACAGTATTTTCTGTCTTCTTAAAAGTAACAAATGCTGTAAAGCCGAAGCACTTTCAAGCATTTAAAGTTATCATTAGTGTTTTGAGTTGGTTAAAATGATTTTATGGACACACAAAAATACAAATATGTCCTTACACTATGTTTAATATGACGTCCAGAATTTGCCAATCTGTGTTCTGGCAAGTTCCCTCAGTCTTAACAGAGAATTCTAATTTATTAGATTTCTTTGGAGTAGGGATATTGTAGAAAAGAGACATCTAGGAGAGAGTCACAGAACATTAGAACATCTTGTAAAGCAGTCACCCGTGTTTTAAATTTTGCTGCACTTCACAGACCTGCACAGACACACAGGCTGAGCCCTTGACTTCAATGCTGTATTTGCCCGGCACATTGGCCAGCTGCTTCTCCTGGTACAGTAACTTGTTGTCCTGATTGACATCAAAGTGGTGAGAGTCTCCTGCTGACTGTACAGTCACTGTGCTGGAGCCGTCAGAGCTGAACACTTTGGTGGCGTACAAAGACAGAGCCTGAAGAGCCACCACTGTGTCCTGGGAAAGAAATGAGTTCAGTCATGTGACAATTTTAGCCATTCAGCAATAATGTGTCTGATTTGAGGAACCTGCGTGGAGGAGAATCCTCCATAGGCATTCTGCTGCTTCACAAGCCAGCTGACAATCCTGTTAGCAAAGCCCAGATCAGCTGTAGTGAGTGAATCTGCAGTGAGAACAGCTAGCAGCACATATGAGCTGATCTCCACATCCAGAGAATCAGAGTCATCAGCAGATGCAGACTGAGACCAGTGGACAAGAGGACCTTTAGGACACAAAAGAAGGATCCATTATAAATCTGATATGCTGATCAGTGCTTATTACAGAGATCATACCTTCTGAAATCGCAATGTTCTTAAGCTTGTTCAAAAGGCTGTCCCGAACCTCTTTGTCTTTTGCCAAACTGAAAGTATAGCTTAGCAGTGCAGAGGTGTAAAGGTTACGAATATCACCAGCATACTGCTTTAAGTGTGAAAGGCCTTTACTGACAGCCGGATCCTATGACAGAAATGGTGCAGCTGACAAATATGTTTGAGCCTTTATGTAAATATGTTAAAAAAAACAAACAGTTTCAGTGTTTGAAACAGACAGTAGAGCTTACTGACCGTAACTGGTATGTTCAGCTCAAGTAGTGATGCGGTTATATAGGCAGTGATGGTCACGCTGTCACTTACACCACCCTAAAATATGCAGATTGCAAATATGAGATCTTTCATCTAAATGTTGATTATTTAATAAGTAATGAGGATTTCTTTTAATCAAGAAAAAAACAACAACTTGAGAATTAAAATTGTCTAAGATAAGACATATTTTCAGATTATATCATATATTTTTATTGTTTTTGTCAGGGTTCGGTGAATGAAAAAGGAGCGAGGACTCAAGTGCAAACAATAATTGGGTTTTATTAATAATAGAAGTACAAATAAAACAAAAAGGCAAAATAAACTACCCCGAGGGGGAAAACATGAATCAAAAACAGACAAACTTGGCTGGGCTGGCAAGACATGACTGGAACAGGAACACAGAGGGAATATCGACGACGAACTGACAAAGGACTGAAAACATGAGGGGGATTATAAAGCAAAAAGTAAATTGACACACAGGTGAACACAATTAACTAATAATGGGTTGACAAGGAGGGTGGGACTAGACAATAGACGGGAGAGCGCATGACACAGAGACAATACAAGCCATGCGCTCACATAACACAACACTGAAGCACACGACAAAAGCACGTGACCACAATGTAAACACCGAGCCGCGTGCTTTGACAAAAGACGCAAGACACGAGCACACGATAGATAAACACCGTACCGTGCGCTCACACATAAGCAACGCGCATGCTTCATCTCAGCGCCAACCAAAACTGAAACCAACTAGACGGAGGCGCCGAGAATAAAGCAGCGCGCTGCTGACAGAACAAACACAAACACTAGTACAAGAGCGCGCGCGTCTGAGGGACGCAGAGCGCGCGCGGCCACATCATGTGGCAGCGCGCACACTCCGCGTACACCCACGACGGCGCACGCGCACACAGAGACAGAAACAGGACCAGACATTGAGTAGTGTCAGAGCTCTGCCACCAAAACAAGAATTTACAAGACCAAAGTGGCAGAACCCTGACACTAGCCCCCCCCAAAAGGGACGCCACCTGGCGTCCCTAAAGGGAACATCCAACAAGGTACAAGACAGACAAGAAACACTACAAGACAACATCAACAGACACAAGACAGGGAGGTGAACAGGCAAGACGACATGAAGGGGGGGAGGGAGGGAAGCCAAGCCGGACTCAACAAGACAAACAAGGGAGGGATGGGAGGGCAAGACCAGGGAGGATCAGGAGGGACAGTCCAGGGTGGATTCAGTGGGTCGGGGGCCCCAGCAGGGAGCCAGGGTGGAGCCGGAGGGTCAGTCCAGGGTGGAGGGGAGGAACACCAGGGAGGAGCAGGAGGGACGACCCAGGGAGGGTCTATCAGGGGAGACAAGGCAGGAGGTCGGTGGGGAGCCGGCTGGGCTGGAGGCCTGTGGGTAGCCGGCTGGGCTGAAGCCGGCAGGGCTGGAGACCAGAGGGGAGCCGGCAGGGCTGGAGACCAGAGGGGAGCCGGCAGGGCTGGAGACCAGAGGGGAGCCGGCAGGGCTGGAGACCAGAGGGGAGCCGGCAGGGCTGGAGACCAGAGGGGAGCCGGCAGGGCTGGAGACCAGAGGGGAGCCGGCAGGGCAGGGAGCTGGGCTGGTGCCGGCAGGGCTAGACGTCTGGGTGGTTCCGGCAGGGCAAGGGGCCGGGCTGGGGCCGGCTGGGCAAGACGTCTGGGTGGCGCCGGCAGGGCAAGGGGCCGGGCTGGGGCCGGCAGGGCAAGGGGCCGGGGTGGTGCCGGCAGGGCAAGGGGCCGGGCTGGGGCCGGCAGGGCAAGGAGCCGGGCTGGGGCCGGCAGGGCTAGACGTCTGGGTGGTTCCGGCAGGGCAAGGGGCCGGGCTGGGGCCGGCTAGGCAAGACGTCTGGGTGGCGCCGGCAGGGCAAGGAGCCGGGCTGGGGCCGGCAGGGCAAGGAGCCGGGCTGGGGCCGGCAGGGCAAGGAGCCGGGCTGGGGCCGGCAGGGCAAGGAGCCGGGCTGGGGCCGGCAGGGCAAGGAGCCGGGCTGGGGCCGGCAGGGCAAGGAGCCGGGCTGGGGCCGGCAGGGCAAGGAGCCGGGCTGGGGCCGGCAGGGCTAGACGTCTGGGTGGTTCCGGCAGGGCAAGGGGCCGGGCTGGGGCCGGCTGGGCAAGACGTCTGGGTGGCGCCGGCAGGGCAAGGAGCCGGGCTGGGGCCGGCAGGGCAAGGAGCCGGGCTGGGGCCGGCAGGGCAAGGAGCCGGGCTGGGGCCGGCAGGGCAAGGAGCCGGGCTGGGGCCGGCAGGGCAAGGAGCCGGGCTGGGGCCGGCAGGGCTAGACGTCTGGGTGGTTCCGGCAGGGCAAGGGGCCGGGCTGGGGCCGGCTGGGCAAGACGTCTGGGTGGCGCCGGCAGGGCAAGGAGCCGGGCTGGGGCCGGCAGGGCAAGGAGCCGGGCTGGGGCCGGCAGGGCAAGGAGCCGGGCTGGGGCCGGCAGGGCAAGGAGCCGGGCTGGGGCCGGCAGGGCTAGACGTCTGGGTGGTTCCGGCAGGGCAAGGGGCCGGGCTGGGGCCGGCTGGGCAAGACGTCTGGGTGGCGCCGGCAGGGCAAGGAGCCGGGCTGGGGCCGGCAGGGCAAGGAGCCGGGCTGGGGCCGGCAGGGCAAGGAGCCGGGCTGGGGCCGGCAGGGCAAGGAGCCGGGCTGGGGCCGGCAGGGCAAGGAGCCGGGCTGGAGCCGACACTGGAGGGCGCTCAGGGGCTGGAGCCGACACTGGAGGGCGCTCAGGGGCTGGAGCCGACACTGGAGGGCGCTCAGGGGCTGGAGCCGACACTGGAGGGCGCTCAGGGGCTGGAGCCGACACTGGAGGGCGCTCAGGGGCTGGAGCCGACACTGGAGGGCGCTCAGGGGCTGGAGCCGACACTGGAGGGCGCTCAGGGGCTGGAGCCGACACTGGAGGGCGCTCAGGGGCTGGAGCCGACACTGGAGGGCGCTCTGGGGCTGGAGCCGTTGTGGTGGAGGAGCCCTTTCTCCTCCGACGCTTCCTTGGTCTGGGTGGCGGGAAGCTGGCCACCTCTTCAGACACTACAGTATACTCCACTGCCTGCAGGACTGGTGCAGTGTCTGTTGCGGGTGCCTCAGTAAGTGATGCTGCAGCCAGGATGGTAACTGAAAGGGCTGCAGCAGGTTCAGTCACCTCTGGGTGGGCGACAGGTGAGGCTGACCCGTTCTTCCTTCTCCGTCTCCGTTGGTGGGTCATCGGAGGACTGGGGATTTGGCAGTCTGTAAGTGGGAGGGGCGGTGGACCAAGTGGAGGCAGGCCACCATTTCCCTGGCTGTGGTAGACATAGCTCACAAACTGCCAGAATGTCAATATCCCCAGCATTCCCATCTCCCAGGCCTGAAGGGGGCTGTTGAGTCCAGCGTTGAACGCCTCCTTCAGTGCAGTGTTTGTAGATTCAAGCCCCTCTGCTGCGTAGATGAACTGGTATGCAAACTCCTTCACTGTAGATACCCCTTGATGGAGTGAAAGGAGTCTGCCTAAACGCTCCTTCTGCTGGCATGCAGAGGGACGAGAAGTGGGAGATGGGAAAAGGAAGATACCCATTTTCTGCTGAGTCCTCTGTTTAGGTCAGTTCGTACTGTCAGGGTTCGGTGAATGGAAAAGGAGCGAGGACTCAAGTGCAAACAATAATTGGGTTTTATTAATAATAGAAGTACAAATAAAACAAAAAGGCAAAATAAACTACCCCGAGGGGGAAAACATGAATCAAAAACAGACAAACTTGGCTGGGCTGGCAAGACATGACTGGAACAGGAACACAGAGGGAATATCGACGACGAACTGACAAAGGACTGAAAACATGAGGGGGATTATAAAGCAAAAAGTAAATTGACACACAGGTGAACACAATTAACTAATAATGGGTTGACAAGGAGGGTGGGACTAGACAATAGACGGGAGAGCGCATGACACAGAGAGACAATACAAGCCATGCGCTCACATAACACAACACTGAAGCACACGACAAAAGCACGTGACCACAATGTAAACACCAAGTGTGCCGCAAGCCTACGTTTGAGTGAAGGTTTCGGCCGTTAGATCGCCCCCTGGGGGCTGGCTGCAGTACAAGTCATAAAGCCCGCCTCCTCCGTGTTAATGAAGGAGACTTGAGCCCAAATAAAAAAAACTATTACACTTGCAATAAAATGTCCCGAAAGATAGTTCAGGTTGATTAAGGCACTGGTTATTGTGCTGAAATAGGTGCAGATCTTCATTTTTGTAAACAGTTTGTTTTTAGCAGTAATTTAATGCTGGGCGTGTCATCGTGATTGACAGCTGTGATTGACAGTTTCTCAAAGCGCGGCGTCTGCGCTTCGGCAGGAGACTGAAGTAGACTGAAATGTTATTATTCGATTTCTGTGTTATTTTACCATGACAAAATGAGTTCAGCAGTAAACTATAGTTTCTGACATACATGATCCTGGTGGAACACTGTTTATTCGCTAAGTTCAGGGCTTTTTTCGGGCTTTATTAGTTTGCTGATACACGCCTAGCCACCCAGATAGCAAAACACAGTTCCGGCTAGATTCTCGCCTGCCGGAGACTTATCTCTTAGAGCTCAGACTGACTAATGTTACCTCTGCTGGACCTACTCCGGATGCCTGGACTCACTGCCCGATTCCAGCCCGAGTCAATCGAGCCAGATGCGGCGGCCGAGCGAGCAGGCGCTGCCGCATGCGAGCCGGAATCAGCCCGCGACGCCGCGAGTAAGTTGTGCGCTGCGGCCTGGAGCTGGCGCGATTGAATATATAAAACCCTCATATTTGTTAACGTTATTACATCCATTTGTGTTGATATGACAGCAAACGCATGCTGAGAAGTTCGGGGGGCGTAGTTGATTTTACATAAAGCGTTTGATTGGAAGCTCGACTCTGCTTATTTTCGCGGCTCCTCCTCTGGCTCCATCAGACAGTCCTTCTGCGCATGTCTGGCTCCAATTTCAGCAGTCTTTTGCGACAGTTTGTGCCCGTCAAGCAGGCGTTTTGCCCTCAAGGCGTTCAATGGGAAAAAGGGCTGTCGCGTCGTCCATATTTTTT